GAGAGGTTCTGGGATTAGCAAGAAAATAGGCTGAAATCTGGGTGGAGGAAGGACGAAAATGTACCTGCAAAAAACGGGAGGCGGGGGCGTGGCTACCCCAGGGCTCGGTCCTTTGGCCGGAGGAGAGGGAGGAGTCTGTCCGACTGTAGGCGAGGCCTGGAGCCACAAACCCGATCACTGGACTGAATCACCCCGCGGAGTTAAAAAGAAGGCGGAGCCTGCCGACCTGGAGGCGGGGCTTTGTCAGAGCTAGGGCGGAGCTTATAGAGGAGGCGGGGTTTTAGGGACCAAACCGAGATTGCTGCGGGCGCTACGCTTTGAGGGTGAGGGGGCCTGGAGCGACTGAGGGTCCGGGGTTTGGCCGGGATCCCGTAAAGCGGCGTCCCTTGGGGTGTGGGTTTTGGAGGGGTTCCTGAGGAACTGGATTCGGAGCTTGCTCCCAAGGCGAGACGTTCCGTGGAGGCGGAGTTTACGATGTATTGAAGTCTGATGGCCCCAGAAGTGGGTGTGCAGGGCGCCCATTGGGTCCGCGGCATGACTGCAGAATGAGCCTGGGGGGTCGAGGGGCGCAGAGTGGGGCCGGACTGGGGGCGTTTTTAGGGATCCCAGTAGTTCTCGTGGTGCTGCGCGGCGATGATGATGACTACGGTGAGGATGGTACAGAGCACCATGGCTGCAATGCCCACGGCCAGGGAGATGAAGGAGAAGTTCCGGGCCTCGCGTGAAGCGATCTCGGCTGACACCATGTCTCCGCGGGCCAAGGCCGTGCGCACCTACGGAGGAGAAGTGGGGAAAGGAGGTCAGAGAGCTGCAGCCTTTCTCTACGATGGTCCCAGCACTCCTAGAACTGCCCATCCCCCAAACCGAGTAAGCTCCTGCCCCCTACCTGCACTGCCTTGAAGATGGCAATGATGCCCGTAGGCCAGAAGCAGCAGATGGTGGTCAGCACCGCGATGGGCATGTAGTCGTGTGGCGGGCGCCTCGGCTCCAGTAGGGCCAGCCCTGGGCCCTGGGGCGGCGGGGGGAGAGTGGAGGTCACTCCTGTCCCCCCCGGGGTTCCGCCTGCATATGGCTGTGGAAGGAAAGTTGGGGGGAAGGGGCATCACTCCGACCCTCTCCCAGCCTACCAGCATTGGGCGGCCGGCAGAGTGGCTTTAAAAGCACAATTCTTAACTACGGTTTCTCAAAATAAACCACCCAGTATCCTTCCAGGACACCCATAAATTCCACCTAGGCCCCTCTTCTCCCTTCCCTGCTTCATTAACCACCATTCTTGGGTTCTCTACATTCTCTCCCACAAGGTATGGTCCCACAAGGGCTGCCCTGGCCTCACTTCAGACCGTGTTTCTTCCTCCCAGACACCTACCAGGCCTCCCCTACCACTCAGTCCCAGGCTTCTTCCATCTTCCCCTGGGTTCCCAGCTTCCATTTTTCCCCCTTCAGACGGTTTCTTACTTTCAGACCTCTGAACCTCTAGGCTCCGTTCCCTCTCCCAGGCCCTGACTTTGGGCACCAGTAGACTCCTACTCCCGGGTCTCTCCCTAGTCCCTCTCGTCTCAGGCCCTCTTCTTTCTAGGGCTTGTCCCGGGAACACTACCTGTTCCCTGCCCTTGTTCCTCTATCCTACCAGCCCCCAGCGTATCCCCAATTTCACATCCCCCTCTTCTCCCATGCCCCTGTCTGCCTGGCACTCACCGTGCCCACCGGGTAGACCGGCACGTAAGCAGTGCAGGGCTGCAGTTGCAGGGGGTATCCGGGCGCTACGTAGCCCCCCAGCGGCAGCGTGCCTACAGTCCCCGCGTGCGTTGGCACCACGAAGCCGGGGGCCTGGGCAGTCTGGGCGGGCGCCGGTGGGGGCGGGGCGGCGGCGGCGGGCGGCGGCGGGGGAAGTGGGCCCTCGAAGCGAGTCTCCTGCAGGTAAGGGTCGGGTGGCATGCGGGGCAAGGTAGCGCAGCCGGGTGGGGGTGCCCCGGCAGCAGGGCCGGGAGGGACGTGGTGGGGGGGCCTCGGCAGTGTGGCGGAGGCGGAGGGACCGCGCTGAGCGGTGGCAGCGGAAGAGGTCAGGCCCCCTGCCCCTAAGCGCGGGAGGGTGGCGGTGCCAGACTGATGGTAATGGTGGTGGTGGTGATGGTGTGAGGAAGGGGCTGCCTGTGGCGGTGGGGCTGGGGGTTCGGCTGGAGGCTGAGGGGCATTGTAGGGCGGTGGAGAAGTGTGAGGGACTGAGTCTGGGAGTCCTGGAGGAGGTGAGTGGAGGAAAGGATAAGGGGAAAGATAACACAGACAGTGATGAGGAGGGGTAAGGGGAAACACAGCGAGTCATGCATGGAGAAAGATAATAGGAGAGACACATAGAGACGAGTGAGAAACCATCTCTAATTTGAGGGGCAAGAGGGGGCTATATCTAGGCCATCTGCCCCCCTTCTTCCTTCCAATCTAGTTTTGAGGTCACAACTCTCGCCTGCTTCTTTTCCGTCCTTTTCATCACCATGCACCCAGCTCTCACCTGCAGACCCCAGTCCCCTCTCCTTTGCTATAGCTGCCTTTGGGCTGGCCTATCCGAGCTAGTCCTGTATGTGCATATGTGTAGACATGCAACCCTGCGTTATCTATGTTCCATTCAACAGTTGTGTAAACACATGTGGGATGACATGTGCTCCACTCTGCTGTTTCTTCAGTGGGGGGAGGAGTGCCCCAGCCTCTATGAGAATCTCAGGACCTCTTTTAGGGCAGATTAAGAAGAGCCCTCTGGATTTTACTCCCTTGACAACCCCCATCTGGTCATGTCTCCCTGTTTCCCTACAGGATGTCTCCATGCCAGCCAGGGATTGTCCATCTGTCACTCCCAATGATGCTATTCTTGCAGAACCTGGCTGTACTTCCTTCACCCTCTCAACCTACCCCCCTCTGCCCCTGCTGTTGGCAAGGGGCAGAGGCTTCGACTGGAAGGAGGAAAGGAAGAAAAAGGGGGAGACCGAAAGAGGAGGGGGATTAGCAGAGTGTTGAGAGCTGGAGAGAAGGGGAATGAAACCACCACTAGGGAGGGGTGAAGAAGGGGGTTGGGGCAAGGGGGAGGGAGAGTCAGAAGACAGTGGAGGGGGTGGGGGGTTTTGTTATTGTTTTTACCTGACTTTTCGGATGACATGCCTGCCGTCTCACTGAGACAGGGTCTTTGCAGCCGGAGTGGGGGGTCCTCGGCCGGTGCTGGAGTCTGGGTGCTGGATGGCGCAGCCGGCAGCAGCGCAGAGATGGAGAGATGAAGGCAGCGGCGGGGGGCGGAGGGAGAACAGGGAGGGGGGGAGCTTAAAGGGACCGTGGCAAGGGAGGGGGAGCACTTCAGCCGTCCCCCACTAGGTCTCTCTTTCTGCTCTTGGACTACCTCTCCCCTCCTCTCACCCCAGCATTCAGGCCCCCAGTTTAGGCTCCTTTGGAGTTGTCATGGAAACACGGAGGCTAGACCAGGCTAGGCGGGTGGGACTAAGGGAAGGAAGGACGGAGAGGGAACTCTCTGGAGTGATTATATTGTGGGAGGAAGTGAACAGGTTCTCAGTGGAGTTAATAACCCAGGTACCTCCAGAGGCAGGTCCTCCCCCGACTTAGCTCCCTGCAATGTGCAGAGTCTTCGCTGAAAGGTGCCAGGGTTTTCTCCCAAATCCTTGGCCCGTTTCCTCCTCTTTAGAAGAAATAAATACTTGTGTGTGAGAGAGAATTGTGCAGAGCTCAGAACTGCAATGGTCTGAAAAGTTCCCAGGGTACACCGGACCTGCCAACCTGACAGTAAAGAGGGAGGCCCAGGTCTGTAATTCGGGGGAAGCTGGGCCTTGGGGGGAAAAGGGAGAGGGAGTTTGTGTGGTGTGCACACATACCTTCTTTGTCCAGGACTGAGGAGCTGAAGCTATTTTGGAGAGGGTGGGGGGGCTATGACTTAATTGCTCATTTCTGGCAGCTCCGTTGGGAATGTGTGCTTGTTTCCCCACTCTCCCTTTGCTTGCTGAGGCTGCTTAGAGTCTCCGAGCCGGTCAATGTTTAGATCCATTCCCTAAACCCCTCTACTCCCACCCACCACCTCTCACCAAGAGGCATCTCCACCTCCTGAGTCGACCTGCAGCACAGCGTTATTAGTCTTTTTATTTGCTTATTGTATCTTGGGAGCGCGTGGGTGGGTGCAGGGAGCAAGGATAGGCAGTCTACGGAGAGTTACACCAGTTGGGTTTTTTTTTTTTTTTACAAAAACACAGCCAGAGAATCATTATGCTCCTTACGCCCCCCAGCCCCCGCCTAAGGCCGTCGCTTTCTCGGCTGGGTCCCTTTTTGTCCATATCCTAGGGGAGACTACAGAGCAGTACAGAGGCTCTCGCTGAAACCACTTCCAGGCACCAGAGAGTCAGATCAAGGCTTCACACCAGTCGTTCTGGCCACTTAGGCGTTCTCGTGAACCCCCAACCCCTTACCGCCACCCCGTCGTCACACTACACCATTCCGAGCGCAAAGTGGTTTGACTGAGACGAATTTAGACCAAGCAATGACCTTGTAAACAGAGAGAGGGGCTCAGACAGGCTGAGAAAGCCTTCTCTCAAGATAAACATCTTTAAATGCTAAGTAAAAGCCCTGAGGCACTAGGGTGTGGGGTAGGGGTCACAGGCGGGGAGGTGGGGCGCCTGGGGGTCTCGGTAGGGAGCCACCCACAGAGAGCTCAGAAAGCCAGATTGTAGGGGTCGCTCAGGTTGAAAGACTGGTCGAAATTACGCGGGCGTGAGTCAGCGCATCGCTTTAGGCCCTCCGCCCCTTCGGGGTGGGTCGCTTATGGGGAGGGGAGTAGAGTAGGGCAGGAGAAACTGGGCCAGGCTGCACTTAGCTCAAGGGGCCTTGAGGACTCTCCGCGTCTCTGGAGACACGGGCACTACATGCACTTCAGAATGAAGAGTTGTAAGACGCTGACCTGGGGCGGGCTGGAGGGGGGGTGGGGGTGGGTGTTGAGGGGTAAGCCCGTGCTGGTATCAGCCCTCCAGGTCACCCTGCCACTCACCCAGCACAAGGCAAATGTGGAGGGCTATCTTTCCCTGGTCCACCCCCCGACCGCCCCTTGGGGAAAGAAAACTTCGTGTTCTGCTGCAGAGCCGGACGCCTGTATTGGGAAGTGGGGAGAATCGAGGCGGGGATGTCGGACCTTTGGGTCGCTGGGGCCAACGAAGCCTGGAGAGGCCTTCTTTCCATTCCCAGAATAGGTTTGCTGCTTTTTCCTCTCCCCACTGGCCTAAATGGATCGCTCCGCCTATTTCCTCCCCGGCACCTAGGGCGCAATGGAATATTCCATTGCCCCTCCGGTCCGGGCTCTGAGTTGCGGGGGACGCTCGCTTGGTTGCCAGAGAAAGCCCCGGACGTGACGGATTTGCGCGACCCCAAGCAGCCCGCCCTTCCCCCCTCCCATCCGTCATTCTCCTGCGTTCCCTTTCCTCCCCCCTCCCCCTCCCCCGTGGGTTCCAGATTTGGGAGAAGTAAACAGCGGGCAGGAGCGAGTCCCACGGACCCAGGCCAGGTGCGAGTTTGCACTCTCCAGGGGGTCTGGGCTGCTGCTCTGGGGTATTACAGAACTCCGCGTTGTTCCTGGCTGGGGAGGTGCATTCGTCTGGGCCTAGGGAAGAGGTTCCCCGAGAGATGAGTTCGGGGCGGGACTTTTGGTGCGCGTTGGTGCGTCAACGTGGTAGGGGGGTGTGTTTGTAGGGAGAGGGCTCGAGTAAGTTAAAAGTAGGCTATTTTGTGACAAGGACCTGGTGTGGGAGCGCGAGGAGGCGGTTTGATTGCCTTGCGTTTGTTCCGAGGGTGGAGGGTGTTGCCGTCTCCCTCACAGGCCCTTATCGCCCCTTTCTCAGGCAGGAGCATGCTGGGGCTCTGTGGGCAGCGGCTGCCCGCGGCGTGGGTCCTGCTCCTGTTGCCTTTCCTGCCGCTGCTGTTGCCTGCAGCCCCCGCGCCCCACCGCGCGTCCTACAAGCCGGTCATCGTGGTGCATGGGCTCTTCGACAGCTCGTACAGCTTCCGCCACCTGCTGGAATACATCAATGAGGTCTGGCAGGGGACACACACCCGGGTGCCGGGCGTTAGAGGCTCTACTGTGGCAGGGGAGGGAAAGCGGGAAACTGAAAGCCACCCCTCTGGGCCTGCCCAGTTCCTCAGGGAGCTGATGCTGGCATAGGGGGAGAGTTGGGGGACGGGATCCCTGGTTGTGGCAGGGCACAATAGGCCTGTGGACGTGGGCCAGGGGGTGGCGTGTGGGAGCTTCTTAGCCTATCCCCGGTGGCTGCATTGCCCCCTTCCCACAGACACACCCCGGGACTGTGGTGACAGTGCTCGATCTCTTCGATGGGAGAGAGAGCTTGCGACCCCTGTGGGAACAGGTGCAAGGGTTCCGAGAGGCTGTGGTCCCCATCATGGCAAAGGCCCCTCAAGGGGTGCATCTCATCTGCTACTCGCAGGGTAGGCGACTCCCCTGCCCCTAACTCCTAAGCCCTATCTGAGGCTTGATCCTTATCTGAGGGACACTTCCTAGTGTCCCTTTTTCTGAACCACATTGCTCCAGGCACAGCCCTGGTATCTGAGCCCTTCCTTTCTGACTTCCCTCAGCGTCTGGGTCTCATCTCTGTCTTGAATGGGAGGGAGGCTCCCTACGTTGCTGCTCCTTCTTTCCCTATTATCCATGGCTCTTGGACATAAGGGCTAATGGGGCAGGTAAAAACACCCTAGAATTAGAGGCAGGAGGCCTAGCATCTAATTCGGGCTCGGTCACTTATATGATGTGTGACATTTTGGCACAGGGTGTGCCTGCCTTCCGGAAGCCTCAGTTTCCTTTATGTACAGTGTGTTGGGGGCCAGTGTGTGTTCGTGGGGGTAGAGGGTGCTGCTGGCTTTGCTGTCCTTAAGTCCCTGCCCAATGTGGTGTTCTGTCTACAGGGGGCCTTGTGTGCAGGGCTCTGCTTTCTGTCATGGATGATCACAATGTGGATTCTTTCATCTCCCTCTCCTCTCCACAGATGGGACAGTATGGAGGTGAGTGGGCACTGGACCTCACAGAATGCCCTGAGTTTTGGGGGCACAGAGGTTTATGGTCACTTAGCACTGCCATTCTCTTGCCAGACACAGACTACTTGAAGTGGCTGTTCCCCACCTCCATGCGATCTAACCTCTATCGGATCTGCTATAGCCCCTGGGGCCAGGAATTCTCCATCTGCAACTACTGGCATGGTGAGTGGGGATGCTGAACTGGGGCTTCCATGGAGAGGGCACTGTGGAGGGTCGGGTCAGTTGCTTCCATCTCTGCGACAACCAATAGCAGTAATGACAAGAAAAATAACTTATATTTATTGAGCATTTACTATTTGAACAGGCACTGTTGAGATTTTTTTTCTTTTTTTTTTGAGAGGGAGTCTCACTCTATTTCCCAGTCTGGAGTGCAGTGGCATGATCTCAGCTCATTGCAACCTCCACCTCCCAGGTTTAAGCGATCCTCCTGCCTCAGCCCCTCTAGTAGCTGGGATTACAGGTACATGCTACCATGCCTGGCTAATTTTTGTATTTTTAGTAGAGACGGAGTTTCGCCATGTTGGCCAGGCTGGACTCGAACTCCTGACCTCAGGTGATCTGCCCGCCTCAGCCCCTCAAAGTGCTGGGATTACAGGTGTGAGCCACTGTACCTGGCCCAGAATGTTTTAAGTGTGTCACCTTATTGCCTCAGCAGGTATAGTCTGATGCAGGAGTCAGCAAACCTTTTCTATAAAGGGCCAGAGAGTAAATATTTCTGGCTTTGTAGGACATATAGTCTGTTCCACAACTACTCAGTTCTGCTGTTACAGTGTGAAAGCAGCCATGTACCATATGTGAATGAATGTGTCTGTGTTCCAATAAAACTTTAATTGCAAAAACAAGTAGCAGGCTGGATTTGGCCCATTGGTCACAGTTTGCCAACCTCTAGACCAGACTATGGGGACAGAATACTTGGGTTTGAATCTTGACCCTACTGGATGATTTTGGGCAAGTTACTTAACCATTGTGTTACTCAGTTTTCCTTATCTATAAAATACGAAGATAGAATACTTCACCAGGTAGTTTTAAGGATTAAGTAAATTAATGAATGCAGTATAGTTTGAATAGTACCTGGCTTATAGTAAGTGCTAGATAGAAGTACTTGCTATTGTCAGATATGGTGGCTCACCTGTAATTCCAGCACTTTGGGAGGCGGGCGGATCACTTGAGGTCAGGAGTGTGAGACCAGCCTGGCCAACATGGTGAAACCACGTCTCTACTAAAAATACAAAAAAATTAGCTGGATGTGGGCACTTGCCTGTAATCCTAGCTACTTGGGAGGATAAGGCAGGAGAATTGCTTGAACCCGGGGGGCGGAGGTTGCAATGAGGCAAGATTGTGCCGCTGCACTTCAGCCTGGGCAACAGAGTGAGATTCCATCTCAGAAAAAAAGTACTTGTTATGTTTACAATTATTATGACTACTATTATTATTTTTTTGAGATGGAGTCTCACTGTGTCACCCAGAATGGAGTGCAGTGGCACAATCTCAACTCACTGCAACCTCCACCTTCTGGGTTCAAATGATTCTTGTACCTCAGCCTCCTGAGTAGCTGGGATTACAGGCATGCACCACAACGCCTGGTTAACTTTTGTATTTTTAGTAGAAACAGGGTTTCACCATGTTGACCAGGATGGTCTCGAACTCCTGACCCCAAGTGATCCACTTGCCCTGGCCTCCCAAAGTGCTGGGATTACAGGTGTAAGCCACTGCACCTGGCCCATGTTATCACTACTGTTTTATTGCTACCCATTTGGACTATTGCTGCAGCCTCCTTATTGGGCTTCTCACCACCTGTCTTGCCCCCCTTTTCTGCTTCCTTTTTTAACTGCTGCTTGTACCCAGATCCCCACCATGATGACTTATACCTCAATGCTAGCAGCTTCCTGGCCCTGATCAATGGGGAAAGAGACCATCCCAATGCCACAGGTGAGAATCCAGGCTCCTATCTGTGTCCCCTTTTCTGCTTCGACTCCCTGTGTCTCCCTCTCCAACCAGGCCTGACCCCTGTGGCTGACTCAGCCTCTCTTCTTTCCATCCTACAGAATGGCGGAAGAACTTTCTTCGTGTGGGCCACCTGGTGCTGATTGGGGGCCCTGATGACGGTGTTATTACTCCCTGGCAGTCCAGGTAATAAGGGATTGTGTGGCCTGAAGATTGGCTAAAGACATCCCCTAACCCTGATAGGTCTTTATCTCACACCTAAAACTGGCCTGCTCCTTCCACTATTCAGTTAGTGCCCCTCCCCTCATTCATGCTGTCACCCAAGTCCAAAACCTGGGGGTCATATCCCAACCCCTTGCATCAAGCCAGTCACTAAGTCCTGCTGACTGTCCTCCCCTCTATCCCTATCACCCCTGTCCCCAACTTTGTAAAAACTTTTAATTTTGAAATTCTTATGGATTCATAGGAAGTTTCAAAGACAATATAGAGAGGCCCTTCACCCAGCTTCCCCCAGTGGTTGCATCCTACATAATTACAGCACAGTATCAAAATCAGGAAATTCACATTGCTACAATGTGTGTGGTTCTGTGCCATTTTTATCACATTTCCTACCACCTCTTTACTTACCTGGACTATTGTAACAGCCTCCAGCTTTGTCTCCTCCATCCTATTCCTGAGAAAAAAATCCATGGCTCCATGGCACTGTGTGCTTGCCTCTGTTATAGGTCACCATGAGTGATCTGTAATGTCACCTGAGCTACTTGAGTCACTCAACAAATATTTATTGAACATTATGGGTGCAGGCTTGTTCTGGGCCCTGGGGATGCAGTGGTAAATAAAAGAGAAGTCCTTAATGTTTGTGTAGCTTATATTCTAGTTAGAGACAGCTAATACATGTAAATATATATACTGTATATCACATAATAGGGCAGGGGAAAGGATTAGAAGATGACCGGGGTCTGGTTTCAATAGTAGGCGAAAAAGTCCTCCTGGAAGAGTTGCCATTCAATTAGAGACTGAAAGAAGTGAAGGAGAGAGTTGTGCTCTGGGGGGAAGAATCCCCCAGAGAGAAGGCGTGGCACCTGCAAAGGCCCTGAGGCTTGTGTGAGGAATAAGGCCAGCGTGGTAGTGCACAATGAGCTGGGAGCTTGGCTCACTGCAACCTCCGCCTCCTGGGTTCAAGCCATTCTCCTGCCTCAGCATCCTGAGTAGCTGGGACTATAGGCGCCTGCTACCATGCTCGGCTAATTTTTATATTTTTAGTAGAGACGGGGTTTCACCAGGTTGGTCAGGCTGGTCTCGAACTCCTGACCTCAGGTGATCCACCTGCCTTAGCCTCCCAAAGTGCTGGGATTACAGGTCTGAGCCACTGAGCCTGGCCACCAAGCCACTGTTTTTTATATGTTAGCTCATTTAATCCTCACAACACTCTCTGGGATAATTACTGTTATCTTCACTTGACATGTAAGGAAACTTAGGTGTGAAGACATTAAATAACATGTCTACATTCATAGAGATAGTGGTGAGGTCATATTCTACCTGGTGATGGTAAGCTAAAAAAAAAAAAAA